TGCTGATTCCGGCTTGCAGCAAATGTGGGCTGTAGGATTCAGTTTTGCGTTTGTATGTCCGAGGTATTCTAAAATAAGAAAGAAGGGACATGTATCATCAACTGGGCAACATTTTCTGGTATAACAATCCAAAATTAATCTCAAATCACTAAATTTCATTTAGCTGATACATCTGAGACCAAACATGCACTTCCTTAGATACCAATGTGACCCAAATTACCCCATCAGACCAAGTTTAAAGTTTTTCCATTTTGCCCAATACTACTCAACTGGTTGCTATACTTTTGGATACTTTGATAATTTTCCCATGCAAAATTGGTATCTGAACCTGATTTCTAACAATTCTAGATTTTCAGGAGAAAGTTTGATTTACAAGTAAAAATAAACACACCTGAGTCAAAATAGGTCCTTCCTCTCTGACATGCAAGAACAAAATGCATAATGCAATTATTGCGGTTATATCACAAGGATAGAGTCTGATGCAATCCATAATGGTGGCAGCTTGCTCTGAAACTAATTGAGTTAGGAGAAATTAACCAGAATCAAAAGTAACCAAAATTATCCCACTGACCCAAATTACCCCACCCCAACCTATTAAGAGCAAGTTTTTTATTTCTCCTCTTTTCAATCAATTTGGGATGTTAACTTCTTCTGCTGATAAAGCTGAATGTTTCGCCCGTAAATTCTCTTTGAACTCTACTCATCTGGAATATCTTTGCATAACTTTCCACCTATAACTGAGTCTCTGTTGAGTGATATGCATATAACCTCTTCTATGGTTTCTATCATCTGGATCCCACCAAGGCATGTGGACCTGACGATATCGCTGTAATAGTCCTTAAGAAATGTGTTCCCAAACTGGATCCAGTTCTCTCTAAACTGTATAATAAATGCTTCGGTACCTCTTGCATCCTTGCTTGTTGGAAATCCTCATCTATTGTTCCAGTTTTTAAGAACCCAGGTGATCCATCCGACTCTCTCTACTATCGGCCTATTAGACTTCTACCTCTTTTTGATAAACTACTAGAGGCCCTATTCCATGATGAAATTGGTTAAATATCTCACATCATCGGGCCTTCTTTTAGACAAGCAATATGGCTTTCGTTTCTCTAAGTCAACTGCTGATATATTGGCGGTCATCGCAGAAATAGTATAGCAATCTTTAAATATGAATGGTGAAGCTCATGCTGTTGCTTTGGACATCTCGAAAACGTTCGGTTTAGCATACAGATATTCTAAGTCTCGAAAGAAGCTAAGTCCCTGTTTACTGAGAGAATGGAGGACCATATTGCCTCTAACAACTTTGGCTCTCATGATTACTGGCGGCTCTGTAATAGTGTATTAAGAGTAAGTTTTCTATTCCTTCAATCAATTTGAGGTTTTAACTTCTTCTGCTGAAAAAGCTGAATGTTTCGCCCGTAAATTCTCTTTAAATTCTACTCTTAACGCACCTGGAATGTTGAAACAAAAGATAATTGACTGGGAAATCGTAGACTTATCAGCATAGATAACATAATTCACAGAAAGGTGCTGAGAATACAATGAATCGAACATGTGAGCAATGACAGGATTTAGAAGAAAAATGGTAAAAAAAAGGAAACTTATACTTAACATCCTGGATACTGATAGAAAAATAGATAGAAAAATGAATTCATTAAATATACAAAAATAGAAAGGGGTATAAGACAAGGATGTCTCGTCTCACCAGACTTATTCAACCGTTACAGTGAAGCGATCCTAAGAGAATTAGAAGTACTGTCAGGATTCATTACTAGTGGCCACAATCTTTACAATATAAGATATGCAGATGACACAGTGTTGATAGCGGACATAGAAATGAAACTGCAGGAACTCCTAGAGAAGGCAGTGAAGGAAAGAAGATAGAATCTATGGTTAACAGCAAAAAGATGAGCCCAAAATGCGATTTACAAATTGGAGATGCCAAAATCAAGAAAGTACAAAAATTCAAATATCTAGGAAGTGTGAAACCGAAATCCGAAGATGCATTGAGTTAGCGAAAAATGCCTTCCAAAATCTAAGCAAAGTATTAAGAAAAAAGAAAAATTCCGTTAGAAACAAACAAAATGGTACTGAACTGTTATGTAATATCGGTGCTCCTGTATGGTAGTGAATGCTAGATAATTTCCTCAAAAATGAAGAAATGACTTGATGCTACAGCAATGTAGTTCTACAGAAGGATGATGAGGATACCTTGCTCTGAAAATGTAAGCGACGACGAAGTTTTGAAGTTTTAGAGAAAATGGAAACAAAAAAAGGATACTTACACTTAACAGCAGAGACAATTGAAATTTCTAGGGCAAAAAAGCAGCTGTGTCATAGTCGTCATATTCGCCAAAGACGAGAGGTTAATTCAACGGGGTGAGGTTTGAATAAACTCAACATTTTCAAATATCCCCCCCACAAAAACCGCATGTAATACATGACGACAATGAAATAATTATGAATTCCTAGTGAGAAACCAACTCACGAGAAAAAGCTTGCGAGATCAGCGCAATAAATAAAAACTGTTAAAATCGAGATTTTAAGTGAAACGAATTTATACAGCCACAAGTTTAAAAAACTGCTACCATTAGTTAGTGAACTGATTAGAAGGGAAACGACTTGAGCCGAGATAACCCCACTACGAATTTGGTTAGAACCCCTCGTGTTATATGCAACTGTGTAGCCATGATACTTACCACAATGAGTTTGCTCAGCATATAACTTTAACACCTTGCGTCATATATAATCATGCAAAATTTGAGTCCAGAGTCCTAACGAATTTGATCAGCATCGGAATTGAAACCCTCGTGTCAAGTATAATTGTATAGAAGTTGAGCCGAGATGTACACCCCAGCGAATTTTATTTGAAAAGTAAATGGATTCCTAGCGTTTAGTGTGATTCAGTAAAAGTTGAGCAGAAATTACCACCCAACGAATTTGATCAGTATAGCCATCGAACTAGCGTTTAGTATAATCGTAAAAGTTGAGCCGAGAATCCCACCTCAACGAATTTGATTAATTTGGTTAGCATAGGAATTAAAATACTCGTGTCAGGTATTATCTTTTAAAAGTTGAGTCGGGATTACCACAGCAACGAATTTGGTTAGCATAGGAATTGAACTACTCGTGTCAGGTATAATTTTTTTTTTTTAAATTGAGCCTAATCCCTACTGCAGAGCCGATTTTGGTTAGTATCAGAATTGAACTACCCGCATCAGGTGTAAACCCAAAATTTGGGTCGACATACCCATCGCATTGTATTTGATCACTAGATATCCATCACAATGAATTTGATTGAATTATTCACGTTGGGTGAAATTGTGTAACAATTGAGCCAAGATTACCGCCCCAATGAATTTGATTAGCATCGGAATTGAACCGCTCGCATCAGGTCTAATCGTGTAAAAGTTGAGCCGAGATCACCACCCCAACGAATTTGATTATCATTGCAACTGAACTCCTCGCGTCAGGTATAATTGTAATATACTTGAATTAGTCGCATGTAAACGGAATTTCTTTGAGTTCAAATTCAATAGTATCAAACGCACGAAAAGGAAGCAGTTTCTTTCCATTTTCAATGGTTGCATTACCCTCACCCCTCGCCTGTGTCTCTTCATCTCCCTTCCCTGGCGTGTTGATGTTTCAGGCTTTTGATACGAGTTTTGGCGCATATAAAAACGATTGGACAATTTCCAACTTAGTAGGCATCGTTTTGTCATCCATTTTTTTTTCTTTTTTTTTTTGTAGCATTTCAAAGCTGACTTATGTAATCACGCAATACTCTTATAGACTTTGTTCATACCTCAACGCCTATTAACGACCGAACGTTAGATATTTATGTAACTGAAACGGAACTCCTTCAATGAACAGTTTATAAATCACTTCGGAATTGTTCATCATCTGACTGATTTCTCTTTAGTGATGCGCTATAGCTCAATGGTTATCATTTAGATCACCTTAATTATGTGCCGTGTTCCTTTAAAGCGTGTATAATCAAGGTTCTCCCCAACTTCCTATCTTTTGTTGATCTCTCAAAGAGGTTCTTTGGAGGTGAACTTGAGTTTCAATTGTCGCTCAAGTGGATCTTATATATACGATCTGCCGCTAATGACGCTGCAAAAATGGTCAGCTCCCTTTTATTGCGCTAGAAAGTACTTGATACCACTTGCCATACTCTTCAAGAATCGAATCTATACAAAATAAATGGACTATTGTTGTTATATCTCGCCTGAGGATGCCCAGTTCTATCTTTCCAGCCTTTTACGTGGTCCTGTGGGTGATGAATTATTTTCCACCTCACACGGTACTTCGCAAGCCTCTCACTACTCTATCGCTATTTCCATCGAAAATGTTCTGATGAGCTACATTCCTTAGTTACACCAGTTCAAACCTCACACCCGTCACGCCACGTATACAGGAACGAGCCATCTTCATTTCCTTCGTATTCCATTGGTATTCTCCCCAAAAGCTGCTGCTTTGCGAAACAGACTCCCGAGAGGATGCTTCCCTGACTACTACAATCTTAAACTCTTAAAGTGTAAAGCCCCGTTATCTATCTTAAATGTCCTCATAACAGATAATTCTTACGTACATAAAACCACGCGTTTCTGTAACCTTCTAACATGATTGGCTCTTGGGCCTTATATTGTGTAAACAACGGAGTAAAAACATAACTTTTAATATTTACCATCCCTCTTTGTCCTTTGTCAATTCACTCAAAATCGTTAAGTTGGTTCGATCGACTGATTTGTTTTTTTACAGCTTATCAGCCCTTTCCAGGTTATTTAAAGCCAGAAAATATTTTTCGACTGTAAAACTTTTTTGGTGATAATAATAATTTAGTGATACAAGTCTTACTAATTAACCCATAGCCGGTGGGGCGAAATGGTGTGTTCATACTTTTCCCGAGGCTGCGCGCAAGTGAATACAACAAACCCAACTGGAGTTGGAACTCGGCTTCCCGAGCCATTATTCATTACACCACCTGTACACCCAAGCTTACAGCACGTGCTTTTCCCAAGCGGCCACCCATCTATATACTGTTCAGGCTCGACATTGCTTAACTTCGATGATCATAGAGGAACCGATGTTTCAACGTGATGTGGCCGTAAATAAGTAAGCTCGCGTGTCGTTTCTTGATTTCAATGTCTTGTGAGTGTTCATTTCTTCAGGTCTTCTTTCCTCATCCTGCGTCCCAAAAACTTTAACTGTATCTGTCTGATTGTTAGTATCCGTTTCTTTAGAATCCCTATTTTTTCTTAAAGCTTCCTACGTTGCTCATATGCATGGAATTCTCACTATCCTTCTGTAGAACTAGATTTTGTCTCTTCAAGCCTCTGTGAGGACATTTTCTAACATTCAATGCCACATAGGAGATTAGATATTATATTATATTCAACACTTTTTTATTTTTCATTCGTTTATCGATTTATTTATTGTGCTAGCCCGAACTTCAAACAAAGTTATTGATTGATGTCGTCAGTTTTTTCTTTTCTTTCCTGTTGCCTGAGTTCGGTCATGTTTCCATAAGTTCACCAGATACAAATAAGCAAAGTCCTAATACATTTACTTTAGATTCAATGGGGACGTACTGTCAGCAAAAGAATTTCCGGTGCCTAGACGAATAAGATCGCTTTCTGTAGAGTTGCTGGGTGGAATGGCGTCATCGCACGTATATATCACGCAGAATCTCCCAGTTGACTTTTTTTTTCAGAATATGGATGGTGATGGCTCTCCACAACTTTCTACCTTTTGTTGTTCTAACTTTTGATCTTTTAATATCCCTGTTTGTACTCCTCACGCAAGCCTTTTACACAAATTTGTTTGGTCGGCCTCTTTCCGATTTTAAGTATAAGTGCTTTTTTTATTTCTCATTTTCTTGAAACCTTCTTTGCTTGCATGGCATTTGCTCTCGAAAAGGACGTAAAAAATCAGTGGGTAAACGGAACAAGCAACACCTCCAAAACAAAACTGATTTCATTTACTCACTACAGAGAACCTTTTTCTGTCTGCCATCAGCATGGCTGATGTTAATCTTCAGGAGAGCAACACTTTACACCTTCTTGGGCTCACGTTTTCCACTGACATGTTGTCGAGCAACTCTATCGAATCAATTGCTTCATTTACTCTTAGGAAAGTTGCCAGAATTTTTTTTTTCTCGCCATAATCCATCTTGCACGTTTATAAATCTACCATTCGTCCGTGCATTTATTACTGCTGGAATATCGGCAGGACCGTTGCGTACTACCTTCGAACCCCCTGACCAAGCCTGATTGGGGGCCCGAATTGTGCCTTGTGGCCGTGGCTATCTTATTAATATTTGTTTTTTTTTTTCTGCCTATATTTATATACGTTACAAATTAAACAACAGACTAAAGGATGAAACAATTTCGTGGATTTTGAGGCCATTCTGGGTTCATTTTGGTGGGATTTGGGTTGGGGGAAATCCGTGAATTATTTTGCTTATGCTAAATCTTGCAAAAAAAAACACTATATGAAATTTACTATTTTTAATCCATAATTTTTAATCCATAATTTTTAATCCATAATTTTGAATCTGTTAAAATTCTTTAATTTTTTTAACAAGAAAAATCTGAAGTTGATATTAAAAATTGCCAAAAGATATTGTTGATTCATTTAAGGTGGAACGATCTATTATGACATGTTTCGAATCTGTATTTAGATGCATTGTATTTATTTTTAATTTTTCTAATTGAATTGTTCACCTATATTGCATATTATTATTATATAAAATCCAGAGACGAATATGCAAGATGATAAGTCCTAATCTGGAATCTAGTCTACAATCGCTATCCGACAGACGTGCTGTAGCCTCCCTTCTGTCTATTCTACAAATATTTTCACGGCAACTGTTCCGACGAGCTACTTTCGCTGGTTCCCGGACTACAAGAATTTAAACGTGCTACCAGGCTGGCATCTTGGTCCCAACCTTTCGCTGTTAAAACGGCTAAATATAACCGTCTCTTCTTCTCAAACAGCTTATTCTCCCGCACTTCCCGTCTATGCAACTCCCTGTCCCTTACTTGCTTCCTCGATGACTATAATCTTCAAATGTAATGTCAATCGACATCTGATACCCTGAACTTGTTCCCCGTCTTTCTCTGTATCCTTTTCTCAAACACGTCTCTTTACTCTTGTTCTCAATTCTCTGTAACTCCTTGCGTACTAGTCGCACTCCCGCCTTGCTCGGGGTGAAATGTCTTAATAAAAAAAAAAGAAAAAGAAAAAAAAACATAATTAGATTACAATAAAATTTATATTGTATATCAATACTTTCTTATGAAAATTGAGATGTAATAGAGTGGGGAACCTGTATGATAGATTCGGTGAGAGCCCACGAGGCCCTTGCATCGGTTCTGCATATTTAACCTGGTGCTCCTGCTCTACATCTTAATATTCTTGACTAAATCCAAAGAAAGATCTGTAATGTAATCGATCTTGACTTGGCATCTCGACTTCAGTCACTTTCTCACCGACGTGACGTGGCTTCCCTCTGTCCTTTCTACAAATATTTTCATGATGTTTTCCTTGTCGCCCCGTCTACATGCAATTAAGCGTGCTACTAGATTGGCAACTAGATCCTGCCGTTTTACTGCTGAACTAGCTACATGCAACCGCCACAGTATCTTTTCTCGCACTTCTCGCCTGTGGAACTCACTTCCGATTTCTTGCTTCCCTGTCATTTACAGTCTTCAAAACTTTAAATGCGGCGTCAATTCTTGTCTTCTGTCATTGCGAATTCTATTCTTTTATTGTCTTTTCTCCTCACTAAAATCTTATCATTCGTTTTCACGGCTTGTAACTCCTTGCGTCTTAATGGCATTATCGCCTTTTGTGGGTGTGAAACGTTTAAAAAAAAAACGTTTCCTCTATATTACTCTCAGTATCCAATTACTATGCACCATTGTCGCTACGAGTCTCTTCAAAATCTGTAAGGGTTGGGTTTGTTTGTTTAGCGACATATCGACTCCTTATGAGTCATTTAATGCCGAAATTTAATTTTGTTGGGAGCATTCGTAATTTTATTTACAAAAATGTATTACTGGCATTTTTATTATGAAAATGTATTTCTATACTTTCATAGTGTTTTGAACTCAGATTGGAGGTTAACTATTTGGCCACAGTTGGTACCCTAACATGTGTAAGGAAATTGTCCAACATTCACTTTCATATAAGAAGAGAAACACCAGTTTATTTGTTTCTAATTACATTCTCTAAATTCTTTCTTTCTAGAAGGCATCTTTCGCTATTCCAAAAGTTTAGCATTCTTTTCTTTGTTTGTAAGGAAATTTTCCTGTTTCTTAATGCTTTGCTTAGTTTCTGGAAGGAATCTTTTGCTTTTTCAAGGCGACTTCGAATCTCTGTCACATTTTCTGTAATCTGTTCCTGCATAGTCCAGATAGTTCAATTTCTCTACCTGCTTGATTCTGCTGTCTCCAATTCGAAACTCGTTGTGATGCGGATGCTGGGCCAGGATGGCGAGCGATTGGTCAGAATAGCTCGGGGACGTGGAATTCAGACAGTCGGGAACCCGTATGATAGATTCGGTGAGAGCCCGCGAGACCCTTGCATCGGTTCTGCGTATTTTATCTGGTGCTCCTGTTGTATATCTCGAGATTGAAGGAGGCTGGGCCAGGATGGCGAGCGATTGGTCAGAATTCACTTTCATATAAGTCACTTAATTTGATGCCCGGTCAGTACAAACAGTAAGCAATGCTATAGTCAATCTGTCGCGTTTTTATTTATTCCTGAAGACGCTTTGTAGAGGATAGGGAGAGCCATAACTACGCCGAATGATACTGTTGCGGTTTAAATCGCAAGTGAAATTTTTAACGAGGCCGGGCTGCTAGTCCGATGGTCAATGAGGTACAGCCCTACGGGATGGAAAGTTTTCAACGGTTCTACGTTTTTCTTTTTTAATCATTTCACCCCAACCAAGATGGGAATGCCATTAGTACGCAAGGGTTTTCAAGGAGTGAAAGATTGATTATAGGAAGGATTGGGGAAAGGACAAAAGATGAACGGGATAAAAGAAGACAGAAGATGGCGATTGACATTAATTTTAAATATTTGAAGATTGTAGTTACCAGGGAAACAAATAAACGGAAGGGAGGTCTACAGGCGAAGAGAGCGAGAAAAGAAACTCTTGGAGTAGAAGAGGCGGTTTCTTTTAACTATTTCAACAGTGAAAGGGTGGGGCCTAGTTGCCAATTTAATAACCCGCTTAAATTCAATTAGTTTGGACACTCGAGAAAAAAAAGCTCGTCAGAGTAGTTGCCATGAAAATATTTGTAGAAAAGACAGAGGGAAGACTTGTCCCGCCGGTGAGAAAGTAACTGGAGTCGAGATGCCTAGTCAGGATTGCCAGAAGGGATTCTTGCCTTACCCAAGGGCATTTGTGCAAAATGAAAGCAAACCGACTCAGCCAATGTTTGAACCTTCACCGATTCTATTCAACGTGACATAAGGCCATCCCTGCAATGTCTAGTCTGTGTATATTTTGTGTAAATTAACGTACCAATTATTGTCTTTTCAAGATCCTGGGTTTTAACAATAACGTTGTTATCCTACTCTACTAATTATATTCTACGCTATCCGATCGAATGAATGAGAATCAGTTGATACTCTTGCCGCTAAATAATCGAAGTATAACTCGTACAAGTCAGGCGATAGCGTCAAGCCTCGATCTCGTTACAAAAGACACTTTGAGCGCAAAATGCAGTCAGGAGTGACAAGTTTCTTTTCACGTTAGTTTCGGTTTGTTCTTGTTACCTACATCTTTGTACGCAGCGGAAGTCATCGTTAATTGCTGTGTTCGCAGAAAAAGACAGACGTCAACCATTAAGAGAAGGCATACAAATCATAGAACATATACCGGCATGAATCCAAATAATTGGAGTTTAACTTTATCAATGGATTAACAAACATTAACAAAGTTTGTCCTTTCGCTTTCTGTGATGAACTGTAAAATTTGAGGAATAAAGAACATCTATCTCTTACTTACATCTCTTCCTACTAATACACTGCGTGCCAAATTATTATCGAGATAACTATTTTTCTAATATTTCAAAAACCGTCTAATCAATTCAC